AGAGGGGCAGAAGCGGGTGCTGTCCCCTGCCACCCCTGCGGAGTGGCCTGGGGTAACTGACGTGCCTGAGTCTCCAGGGGTGGCCCGTCCACCAAGGACCCGCGTGGGGCCCGAGATGGGCCAGCGCCCAGTGACAGCTGGGCATCTGGAGCCTGGGGAGCCCCGGGTGACCGTCACCGCCCTCCCCCAGTGGCTGAGGCTGCAGCTCTGAGAGCCCCCGTGCCCCCGCCCGCCCTGGTCCCCAGCGCCACCGTCAGCCGTGTGGACGCGGGAGGAGCTCCGGAGGTGGGCCCCCGCTGGGGACTCTATCAACTGACCAGAGAAGGGATCCAAGGGCCAGGAGTCGCCCCACACCCCACACTGCGTCCTGGGGAGGGGCCGAGACCCCACAGGCCCCGCCCCTGCCCGAGCTCAGGGAGGGGCTGCGGGGGAGGGGCTGGGTGCAGACCCGGCCGCTGGCCCTCTGCGTGCTGGACCCTGTTCTGCCCGTCTCGTGCCTCAGTCTCCCCACCAAGGTGTCCCCTAGAGGGACTCAGAGACCCGTGAGTCCATGGCGGTGACACTGCAGCTCCACCTGGCCAGAGGCTCTCTGGCTAAGCACAGGGCAGCTCTGTCCAGCCCTCCCGGGGCCGGGCTGGCCCTCGCCTGCAGGACTGCTGCTCATGCCCCCAGTGCAGGGCCCTCCAGACCCAGAGCAGTGTCCATCTGTTGTGGTCACTGCTGTCCCCCCAGGGTGGCTCCAGGAAGCCCTCAGTGATCCGTGCTGGCAGTCCCTGGAAAGAGCTAACGTTTCTCAGCCCCAGTTTATGAATGAGAGCAAGGCTCAGAGACGTCAAACTACTTGCCCAAGGACACACAGCCAGAAGTCAGCAAGCCTTTTCAGGGAAGGCCCCACGGTGGACGTTGCAGCTCTGACCAGGTGGCTTGTGGCCTCTGCCGCTTGGTCCTTCTTTCTGTGCCACCTTTGAGTTCATGGGCTGCAAAGTAGGTGACCCCACACTGTGAGCCGTGGTGGGCTGACCTGACCTGAGCCCCACATCCCGATTCCAGAGCTGCCTGGTCCCCTCAGCCCCTCCTGCCCCAACCCCGTGAAGCCAGCTCTCGACGCTGCTGCCCACCTCCCGGTTCCGGCCACACTGAGTCGGCTTCTTGCCCCTGCCCACATTCCATCCATGAAGCTCAGAGATGGGCAGCATTCCCCTGAGACCACACAGCAAGAGGGGAGCAGGCAGGTGGGAACCAGCCCACTGCCCCCAGCAAACCTGCACGTAAAGTCCTCAAAACAGACCACGGGAACCCACCCGGGCTGGCGAACAGACCTCGGGAACCCACCCGGGCTGGCCAACAGAACTCGGGAACCCACCCGGGCTGGCCAACAGACCTCGGGAACCCACCCGGGCTGGCCAACAGACCACGGGAACCCACCCGGGCTGGCCAACAGACCTGGGGAACCCACCCGGGCGGCCACGGTGGCCCAGCACGTGCGGGGCCCTGG